TAGATGGACAGCGTTTGTGAACAGCAGTTTTCAGATCTTGCCACAGATTCTCGATTGGATTTAGATCTGGACTTTGACTGGGCCGTTCTAAACACATGGGTATGTTTTGTTGTAAACCATCCCATTGTTGCCCTGGCTTTATGTTTAGGGTCGTTGTCCCTAAACAAAAAGTTAAATGTTTTCTCATGCTGATCTCATTTACATGTCCTGCATAAAAATGACAGGGTAGGAACATAGTTTGATGAAGGTAGATGAGCATTTTGCGGTTCATTTGCACATTGTAATTTCAACATGCCAAATATCCTGCATCACATCGTTAAAGAGACTAGTGTGAGGTCATCTGAATTCTCAGTGCAGAACTCTTTTCTTTTCCCATGTCCTTATCAGCTCTCCTACAGCCTTTTCTTGACCTCATGACATCAAGGTAGATAAAAAGTGGTTACTAAATGGGCATAAGAGGTAATTTATAAGGGGACTTTTTGAACATATCCACAGTCTCCACTGTCAACTCATTAATTATTTGATCTTCTTTGAACTCTACCATGACTTCATATTCCTAACAGATCACTTCATGTAACTTATTGTGCTGGTTCCTGGACTCAGTACTTCTTTTGTTTACCTTGCTGATTGGCTGGTATTTTGTACTTTACCTGAGGGTGGTTGAGCTGTCTTTTCTGTGGAAACAGAACAAAAAGTTTCTCATTAGACAAGTGTAACAGATAAAGACGCATACACATCAGAAAACAACATGAATTTGATAAAACTGAGGATAAAACAAATTGTGTAAAATGGTGACCAAACTTTTCCAACATAAATGTTCATCATTAAATATATGAGTAGGCTCATAAAAACACTTCAATGGCTACAATGGGTGACACCAGGGAGCCCATGGCACACATGTTTTTCTCTGTAGAAACCCTTGTTGTATTTAAAATATGTAGTAGTAACGCAGAGGTCTAACAGTCTGCAAATCTGATTGGGGGTGAAGCTGGTTCTGTTTTCTAAAAAGCTGTCTTGTTGTAGTCCAGGGGTGGCCAACCCGCGGCTCTCGAGCCGCATGCGGCTCTTTGCCTGGTTTCATGCGGCTCTTACGTTCATATCAAAGTTTGTGTTTTGATTTTTTTTTATGTTGTTGTTTTAAAATGTGCGCGTTCGCTTCGCTTGAGTTCAATACGGTATTTTCATCAAATGCGCATGTGTGTGAGATGAAAATACCGCAAAGTTTCCCAGTAGGAGCAAGTTCGCCCTTAAAATGGCAGGAAAAAAATGCACAGCAAAAAGAAAATATGAAGATGAACACAGGACGTTTTTAACAGAGTGGGAGAGTTTATATTTTTTTGTTGAACGCAATGG